ATTCACTAAAGGGACCCCCCTAGTAAATTTCACAATCTTATGGGAGACAGACCACAATAAACATTGTCTCAATATGTTATTATAAATTGATTATATTGGTTATCCTTGAAGTTTAAATTCTAAATATGTTATTATAAAATGTTCACACTGGTTAAGTTCTAAATATGTTATTGTGATATGTCTACCTTGGTCATCTTCAGAAGATTAATTTCTGTGCCATAAACAAAAGTGTTATTATGAAGATGCTTTTGGTACCAAACTACATTAAAGAACATAATGTTTTATATAACTGTAATGTTATTGCTCCTTTTCTTGTGTACAAAATGTATTTATGCCCTCTAATTGTATGGGTCTTCTAACATTGTTTATGGTAATAACCTTTTGATTCAGATATTTGCCTTTCTCTTATGCTCCAGCCACCTATGATAATAAGCACAGTTGTAGGCTGATTTATTTTCCTTAGATGACGTCCTATAAAAAGATCAGAGCTCAGAGTTGATCAGCTGTCTGCTCGTCTCCACCAGCTTCAACTACAGGGACGTCCTCGTCACCGTCCTGCATGCTCTACCAGACAAAGCCCTCCACCGACCTGGGGCCCGATTAAGAGCCTCACCGAAAAGGCCAAGGGTCTCGTTTATAGTCAGCATCTCCCTGTGACTTCTGATAGGCTGTTTGTTGCAATGTTAGCTGTCATTGCTACTCAGGTAATTTTACCTTGCTCAGCCATGACCTCTCCCTATTGGGCTTATGTCCCAGAACCTCCTGTACTTCACCCAGTCACCTGGGATTGTGATAATGTTAAAATAGTAACTAATTATCCTCAACTTATGGGAGGAAAAGATAATTCCTTTATCTCCCTTAAATATACTCATCATTTTAACTATACAGGTCACGCTGATGACATACCTATTTGTGCTGCCACTATCCAAACTTCCCTTCTTGGATGTATCTCTCTATATTATAATAATATGTATGCTGACTTCCCTGCTGAGGGAAAAAACAAATGAGATTTATGGTCCCTCTCGTTATGGCTACCTGGAAATTTAACCTAATTTTCAAAACACACTAGCTTTATGCCTAATCTTATCTCCCCTTGTCAATCAGCATCCGATGCAGAATATATTTGGAAAAATATTGACAGGCGCCGCGGATTTCCCACGTGGTTTTCCTGTGGTTTTATCACCTCCACAATTTCTCACCCGTTACCATTCTTTAATCAAAGTTTATATGATTGGTCCGTGTCAAGTCTCAAGTATGATTATACTGATTATCTTAAAAGAAATTCCTTCACTTATTCTTGGTCAAGCTCCAATTTACCCTTAACCGGACCTGTAAAACGTTGGTATTCTCCTGGATGGGTGGCCCCCCATATATACTTTAACAACCTCAAGTAAGATACAGACAGACTTATATCGTCTGTTTGCTTCCACAGGCCTTGTTACTTTTTATAGACCAAGTACAAAAATTACTTCCCTAATAGCCTTACAGGCCTGTGTACTCTCCCCTTATGCTATTCTAAGTACTGGTAAAACAGGTTTTATGTCAATTTCTGTTACTAATCACTCTACTTATGATATTCAATGTGATAATTGTGTGTTAACTAATTGCCTTAATTCATCATTTGGACAACAGACGTTCCTCTTGGTAAGACAGCCACCTTATGTTATGCTTCCAGTAAATGTTGCAGGACAATGGTATGATAATCCAGGCCTACAGGCTCTTCAATTAATTGTAGATGCCCTTTCACGCCCCAAACGATTTGTTGCAGCTTTCATTCTTGGCATCACTGCTTTAATAAGCATCATAACTTCACTTGCTGTCTCCACGACTGCCCTGGAAAAAGAAATTCATACTGCACATCATGTTAATGATCTGACAAAAAATGTTTCTCTAGCATTGGTCACTCAAGAAATTATTGATAGAAAGTTAGAATCCAGAATAAATGCTTTAGAAGAAGCAGTGTTTTATATAGGAAACCAGATATAAGCCATTAAAGTTCATACATCTGCTGCCTGCCATTCTGGTTTCCGTTGGATCTGTGTTACACCATTACCCTATAATGATAGTCGTATGACATGGGAACAGGTACAGGCCCATTTAAAGGGAGTATGGAGAAATACTCCCCTGTCTATAGATGTACAACATTTACATTCACAAGTTAGTGCTATTAGTCAGGCACGACTACAAACCTCTTCGGCAGAAGTAATAGCTAGTTCTTTCCTGTCTTCCCTCTCCTCCTCTATTTCAACAAAACCCTTTTTCTCTTTTATTAACAATTTGGGAATCACTATTGTAGTCATATTAATCCTCCTATTTTGTCTTCCAGTCATCTTCAGACAATTAATTCGAGCCCTCAAGAATATCCAACTTGAACTCCACGCTGCCAAAAAAATAAAAAATAAAAAAGGGGGGGATGGCGAAGCCCAACCGACCTCCA